TGCAGTGGCACGATCTATGTGTGCTTGTGATTGTGACTTGAAGTCAGCTGTGAATGCGGTGGGATAGGGAGAGTCTTTAAATTCAGAGTGTGTCAAAAAAGCCCATGAGCTGAACCCTCAAAGTTCACTTAATCAGCTATGTCGCACTGTAGTGTTTGTGTGTATATGCATGAGTGTTTATGTGTGTGAGTATCTGTGTGCTTAGGCCTACTAGACAGATGCTTAGGGAGCCATAAAGAATTTAATGGTCAGTGTGAAGACCTCGGCAGCTACTATTCTGCATATGGCTGACTGCTGATAATACAGCTGAGAGTGCAAAATCAGGATCTTTTTAATGCAGATCAATTTCTAGTGAGGCAGCCAACAGAGCGCTGACCTGAGCTCATGACATATTGTATACCCATGAAAGACACACTCGAGGATTCACAGAGCTTTTAGAAATAAACTACAAGTATTTTTTTGTGTTCACAAGAGTTTGAGTCCATATTTGGATTTCTGTATGTTCATATGTGTGTCCACGTCCTTTGGCGGCTGGCTGTTCCCTTGTTTATTGTGTGTGCTCTCCTCTTTGCACTAGCTGAGGGGTAATCTGTGCCGGACCTATTTTTATGTGGCTGCTGTGCCAAACTTAAAAAAGCATAAAACTTTACGAACATTTTTAAAAAACACCCAGTTGTCTATTAGAAAACAACAACACAAGCAGAATAAATACACAGGGAGGAGGATGGGGGAGGCAGAGAAAGGAAGTGAGCTTTATTTTTCTGTCTCTGGGGAAATGCTGTGACAGCCTCTTTTCAATTGCCCAAAGCTTCTCTGAAACCCCTCAGTTAGATCAATGAACCCAATGTGTGGCTTTAGTATTAATTTTTATCGAACCTTTAACACATTTTGACCCATTTTATAGGGACATTTTATCTTTAAGGTCTGGCCTTGATAAAGCAAAATGTCCAATACTGTGCCACTTTATATCACTGTCCTTACCAGATGCAATTGGACCCAACTGTTTGGCTTCAACCCTGAATTTGACGAGGGTGAATTTTATTTTTGGACTTGCCTCAGGTCCGTTTCCAGCATCATTAGTCTGGTTCCCACTAGGTTGTAGACCTACACTGATAATCATTCACCCTTTAAGCTACTACAGTATGTGTTAAGTTTGAAGACTTCTGATTTTGGTGCCCCTGAGTGGCAGCATCACAAAGCACACAAGCAGACAGTGCAGATGAGATGTAAGGGCTGCAAGCAAGTTTTAGAAAATTACTGTGGAATAGAGCATGGATCAAGCCACATATTTCTTTCTGAACCCAAACCATGCCAGAGAGTGCAGCGTCGAAGCCTGACCCGGACCTGATTGTTTTGATTTTATGGTCCAGCCTTACTCTTTTTATTTATGCTCACCCCTCTGGTCAGGTCATTTACTGACACAGCAAGTATCTGTTTTCATTGAAAAGCTCTGGTTAACCTTGTACCTGATCAGCCCCAAACAGCAGGCAGAGTTTGTGAATAGCTGGTGAAGTGTTTGCTGACATGTTCGCCATAAAAACTTTGTCAGTGTTTGTTCTGCAGCCCCCAAATGGACATGAAAGCAGCTAGTGCAGCTTTAACTTAAATGTAGTTTTATATTCTACCTTTAAATACTTCATGTAATTATGGAAAATTAGACAAAGTATCCTTATACTGCATTTCTGTCAAGTTTTTATTGAAGAAAAGGTTGTCAGAACTATTTTTAAAGGCTGCTTTAGAAAATATAATACATGATTAAACTTTAAAGACAGACCCCCTCTGTCCTCACCCCACAGATCGAAGACATTGTTACACGTATACAAGATGAAAAAGCAGGAGGTGTAGCCATCCGGACTGTCAAAAGCTTCCTCTCCAAGATCCCGAGTGTGGTTTCAGGTTAGTATGTGTGGTTGGACATTGACATATGCTGCAGATCCTTGTGTGTTCTTTCCTTAATAAGGCCTTATCTTGTCTGATGTGTTGATAATTGTGTATGCGTGTGTGATTTGTCATCTTACCCAGCAAGTGGGCTTGCTGAGATTGGATGAGTCAGAATCAGTAAAGCAAATATGACCTTTTGGGTTCATTGAAATTGCTGCTGCTATGGTTGGAGGCAGATGACGTCTTTGCTGGTAAGAATTCAGCCACTGAGGAAACCGCCAGCGGTGTGAGGCTGTCCCTGTCACACCAAAGGAAAGCTGCTTTTCCTTCATGTGTTTGTGCATGTCTGTGCTTGTGTATGAAACAAATCGCCGATGCTGGTCGATGGGGTTCCAGATGCGGTTTCTGAGTCGTTCTTTCACATGGCTCCCCCGGGCCTGATAGCCCCTCGATCTCTCTCAGCAGCCTCTGCCAAGCACAGTCTGGGCCAAATATTGTGCTGTTCAGGAGCAGACAGAGAGAAGCCTGTCAACATGATGCTGTACTTAACATACTCAGCTTTGAGCGGACGTCCATAGAGCTTGTGTATGTTTGTGCATTGCAGCTTTTGTAGAATCTGTTGCAGATGTGGAACTATGATGCTGCCTATGTTATAACCAAAATCCCTCTCTGAATACTAGGGGTGGACATCATTCAGTGGCTGATGAAAAACCTCTCCATTGAGGATCCAGGTATGCCTGCTGAGAAATCTGTCATTTGAATGAACAGTAAAGTTCAATTGAAGAGGAAGGCAATTTGGAATTACACCCACCCACCATCTGTGTGTGTGTTTTCTCTCATGTTCACAGCTGAAGCCATCCACTTGGGGACTCTGATTGCTGCCCATGGCTACATATTCCCCATCTCTGACCATGTCTTGACACTTAAAGATGATGGAACCCTTTATCGCTTTCAGGTATAGAAAGCTCCACTACGGGAGTGTCCTTGACATGTGTAGTTTAATGAGATGATGGTACTTTATCAGAGGTGTATGTTTATTATGTGATGCTAATGAGAAGAAATCCTTGCTAAGCCTATTACTCATCCCTGCAAGGTTGATACTGTATGAGGCAGGCCACAGAACAAGGCCCACCAGGTAGAGGGGTGTTTATTTCTTTGCTCTATCTGGAGCATGAATTTTGATGGGTCCTTGTGATGGCTACGGTCTCTGCGATCATTCGTTACTGTGACTGGGCCATTAGCATGTTAATCTGGCCAGCCAGCTGCAGTAGGCAGGCTCCCTTGTGGGAAGTGCTGAGCTGGCTGCACGCTGGCTCTGCACTTTTCACTGTCACCAGCCTACCCCTGCTCCTCCCCCACAATCTACCTCTAAATGCATTTATCTTCACCTCAATTGCTTGAGATTAAAAGCCATTATTGTGCCTGCGCAGGAAGGGCAGTATGTGTCACACTCGCTCATTCAGTGGGGGCTAAAAATATTCCCTCTGATGCTATCATGATGGAACAGGCCCGCATCATCAGAACCTCTAAAAACAGTCCATGGTGCACTAGAAATACAGCTGTGGAGTAAGAAATAGTGACACTAGAGTTTTAGTTTGCTGATCTGAAGATAAACAGATTTAATGACAACTTTGCCTGTCATTGTAATGCAGTTGTGAACTCATATAGATCAACTTGATCCTCTCTGAGGTGAAGTAACAATTACAATGCTGAATTACCTTTCTGTTCATTATTCTCATTACTCTTTCATCAGCATCAGTCTTTTTCTCTTAGGCTAGTTACCATTATGAGTAAAAGTGAACATGAAATATGTGGCTGAGTACCACTAAGTTCTAATTCTGCCCTGTCATTAAGAATGCATGATAGATGTGAGTGATCCATTATTAATGGTCTTGGGAATGAACTTTGAATGTGTAATATCAGTCACAATAGACAATTAAATATGGATAGAGAGAATATAGCTACCATTGCTCCCCAGGTAGTTATCTGTAGCACATGGACATCAAGAATCATTATCAAATGGTCATGTTTGTCAATGGTCAACTTTGTGTGGAAGACAAGTGCAGAGGGAGTGTGGGTGATGAGAGAAATTTAAGATTGCCAGAAAAGAATACATTACTGATCATTTGAGTAAATAAACAAAATCTGTTTCTGTTTCATGCCCTTCTGTTTTCACCAGTCTCCATACTTCTGGCCTTCAAACTGTTGGGAACCTGAGAACACAGACTATGGTGAGTCACACACTGTCTATCAATTTGCGCCGGTTTTCTCCAAACCAGTGAGGTCTTGCTAACGCCTTCAGCTGTCTCTCTCCCTCCAGAGCTGCAACACCACTCATACTGTAGATTTGCTGTTTATACTCACTGAGTATTGATCTTCAGGGCCATTCCCTGTAATGTATCTGGCCCTGAGGAACCCCCACTGGAGAGAATCTCAGGGGATAAGATTAGCCTAACAAAATAAGGGGACATTAACTGATATGACCACATCTCTGCTACTCTGTGTGACATTTGCTCCAGACTTGTTATTTCAGAAGACAACCCATTGCCTGCCTGTTACAGTATAACATTCGTTAGTGTTGGTTCAGCCAGCTGAGACCACAGTTTAAAAAGAGCATTATCCACTGGAGATATTCTTTTTCCTTTAAACTTTGTAGTTACAAAGACAAGCCAACTCATCTGACTAACTTTATTGCCCTCCCTATGTCTCTTTCTTTCTTCTTCCCTTTAGCCATTTACCTGTGCAAGCGCACCATGCAGAACAAAGCCAGACTGGAGCTAGCTGACTATGAAGCTGTAAGTACATTGTCATTTTGGTTTATGTTATTGCCAGGAAACTTCCAGTTCAGTGCTATCATTATTAATGTGATGAATTTCCTGTTCACTTTGCTGAAAAACAAAAAAAAAGCTGCAACAGTGTAATGTCCTCTGGGGCCTTGAAATGCCAAAATCTATTCTTCCCAGAAAAAAGCCATTATGAAATGGCAGATTTTTATACAAATCTCTCAGAGATAAATGTTCTTTCTAGGGACACTGCTTGGCAGAATATGATGCAGTCAATTACTGGCCACAGAATACAAACAAAAATATCTATAGGCCATTGTCTTTCAACCAATAGTCTGCAGCCCCCTGGTGTTCCATGAAGACATTGCAGGTGGTCCATGCTCACTCATTTCCATGTACTACTTGTTGTTTGTGAATAATAAAATTCCTGCAAATATACCCTTATATAATATACAGTTTAGAAAGGCCAAGATGACTTTCAGGATCAAGACAGTGTCCATCGGGGTCGCCATCCCACAGCAGTGATCCTTGAGTTGCTTAGTAGTCAGAATGATGGTCCCTGGGTCACAATTTGTTGAAAATCCTTGATCAGTAGCCTACAGTCTCAGCAATGCTAATATCGTAGTAATCCACTGCACTTTAATATTCTAAGCTACTCTGTAATCATTGTCTAATAGACTTCCTTTCTGTCCTCCGCTGTCCTAATAGTAGGTTACTACTATTCAGTAGTAGTGTTACTGTGTCATATCCACAGTTTAGTAGCTTGTTCCTGGACAACTTATCTCTGCACTTTTAAAAATCATGGCATGCCATCACAATTAATAGGAAAAATAATTGTCTAAGGACCTTGGATTTAAATAATCTAAATAACGCCACACCTGATTGGTTCCTCCAGGAGAATCTTGCCCGGCTACAGAGGGCTTTCGCCAGGAAGTGGGAATTTATCTTCATGCAAGCGGAGGCTCAAGTCAAGTGAGTACATTTATGAATACAACACCTCTTGGTGTCACTGTCAATCTAACATGACACATCAGTTGAGATGCTGAGGAAATCAGGTTTATACATTTATACCTCTCATCCATTATTGGCTATGTGCATGATGTGAGTGTTATTTTCTCAAGGAAGAAAAAATGCTTCAGTGTGCAGTTCCAGCTGAGTTCTGGGCCAAAGCTTTCCTCAATAACAATGCTCTCTTTTTATGCCCTGCTTTGCTGGAGGGTGACATGTATTAAATGCAGCCCAAATTTCCCCTTCTATTAAACATATTCTCCCTTACTTCTATGTCTTTGTAACATTTCCATCTGGCTAGTATGTGTAAGCACAGCATTAGTCCTTCTCTGTCTTTAAGTTAAGACAGAAACTTCCTAGGAAATGTTCAGAATATTTCTGATACTGCTGCTATTTTGTTCAAGTGGAGGTGAACTGGAAAGCAAAATGCCTTCTTACATCTGAGGAGTAAACATGCTTAGGAAGGGCCGATCAGTAAATGTCAGTTATGTAAGAGCTCTGCCCCACCAGCAGCAACACCAAGCTTTGTTTGGTTACGTGAGTGTCAGGTTAAGACCCACACTCTTTAGCTTTTTGCTCTTTCAGAGGTCTGCACTCCATATATGAGTAGCCTGTGTCCTCTGTTCATAGGATTGACAGGAAGAAGGAAAAGGCAGAGAGGAAGATCCTAGACAGCCAGGAGAGGGCATTCTGGGATGTCCATCGGCCAGTGGTGAGTTAGCGTCAAAGTTATAAATAAAAAGAAGAAAGGTAAAGGTCAGATGCTGGACCTGTAACAGTGGAAATGAACAAAACAAAAAAAAGGACTGTTATAGAGGAGGGTAACTTTAGCATTTAAAGCCTGAAACCTGCAGATTCAGCTCCACAGAAACTGTTTAGCTGAGTCCTGTTTTGTTGTTGATAGCAGAATCTGCTTTGTACTAGTCAGTTTGCGTATGAGTCTTTCTGTGAACATAGCAGGGCTAATAGAGAAACAGCATCATGTGAGCAAACATAGACGGTAAATGCTGTAGAAATGTTATCTGTCTCCTGCCACCTCCCACAGCCAGGCTGTGTCAACACCACAGAGATGGACATCCGCAAGTGCCGAAGGGAGAGGAACCCACACAGGGTGAAAAAGGTGAGGAGAGGAAATGAAACTGCTCTTATACATTTTGGCTCTCCAGCCTCAATGCTATTATCTCAACACTGTTATCTAAAATGTTTTTTGGTGGTGTTTATTTGTTTTTATCTAACTTGTCATGCCACAACCATCCTACATGGGACTATACCCAGGATTTAGGTCATGTATCCAATTGAACTGAAGAACTAACCACCACAGCCGCTAATCATTTTCTCCACCCCCCCCCAGCCGCTAATCATTTTCTCAGTTATATTTTCTGTAACCTTTACCTGCCCGGATGCTGTTTCAAACCCTCTTTTACTTTCCTATTTATAGTTATATATTTATATTGTTTTAATAGTAAAATGACAAATTGATTAGATGTGTATTATTTAGACATTTTTATGTATACATTTTATGAAACATTTTATGTTTAATTTTTGATAAACATAGTACATTAATATAGTGACAAAATACACACCCACACACACACACACACACACACATATAAAAGAAGTTTCACAACTTATATTTTACACTGACAGAAATTATATATCATTGTATGTGTTATTACAAGGCATAAATAATAAATATTTAAAAAATCAGCCTTCATAATTATAATAATACTGTATGTTCATAATAAGTTCTGTGAGCGTAAAATATAAGTTGAGAAACCTGTCACACTCCCTGATCACAGTAGTGACATGGTGATGACACCAACGGCTGCTACCTGACTTCATTCATCAAACTACAATACAGAGTTCCTGATCTGTCAAGGCATAACAAAACCAAAGAAGGTTTACATGCCCTCCCCTCACCCTATCCAGTCAGTGTATGGGGTACCAGATGACAGCCAGAGCCAGCCAAGTCCCGTCCATGTCAACTCCCAGCCGATCAGGAAACCCACCAAAGAGGACGTTCAGAAGGAGGTAACCTCTGATTTTGTCTTCTTCATAGGACATTCATAGGATGCTTCCCCCATCCATCATAATGGCGGTTGGGGACACAGACTGATGAGCTGTTACCTTTTTTAGCCTCCTCATTAGTCATCTCTCTCTCTCTCTTCATCAGATTACCTTCTTGAACATCCAACTGGATAGACACTGTATGAAGGTTTCCAAAGTGGCAGACTGTCTGATGAGCTACACGGAGCAGTTCATGGAATACGACCCCTTCGTGTCAGCCACAGAGCCATCCAACCCCTGGATCAGTGATGACACTTCCTTCTGGGATTTGGAGGCAAGGTGAGGTCAGGTAGAAAGCAGAGGTTCCAGTGCATCACTTTTGTTGACTTGAAATGGGAGGCCCTATGTGTGAGAACAAAAGTTTGCATTCCCAAAGGTTGACAGCGTTCTGACTTGCCAACCTCTGCTTTCTGTGGACCATGAGGGGAAATGACAACAAACCACTCTTTTCTATTTAATTTCATTCGATTTTATCCTCTTATTTTCTGTTCTGAGCAGTCGTGACCCCAGCCAGCAGCGCGTGAAGAAATGGGGCTTCTCTCTGGAGGAGGCACTGAAGGATCCGGCAGGAAGAGACCAGTTTCTGAAGTTCCTGGAGTCAGAGTTCAGCTCAGAGAATCTGCGGTGAGACCGTCATTCATACGTCTCGCGTTTAACCTCACACATTTTCATGGGAGCACTGCTCATGTGTTGAGTCACAACATGTATGTTTCATACTGTAGAAATATTTGCTAATGTATTAATTTATTATGCTACCTTGGATAAGAGTGAATGTAGATTTTTTAAGACCTGTTTATATAGAAAGTCACTTTTGGCTTTTCCCGTTTAGGGGTTGCCACAGTGAATTGTCACGCTGGCGACTTGCATGTTGACATTTGGGACGTGTTTTACGCCGCATGCCCTTCCTGACATGCCCTGATTCGAACCCGGGGCTACCCGGGGCTGATTCGAACCACTAGCCTACCAGGGATGGCTTACCTGTTTATATACTGTTTATATTTTTTTGGAAAGTTGTTACTGACTAGCTCTGACACTGTTGTAGGTTCTGGTTAGCGGTGCAGGATTTGAAGAGGCGGCCACTTGAGGAAGTGGCCCCCAGGGCGCAGGAAATCTGGCAGGAGTTTCTGGCTGAGGGGGCATCGAGCCCCATCAACCTGGACTCTCACAGCTATGAGCGCACCAGCCAGAACCTCAAAGATCCTGGACGATACAGCTATGAGGACGCTCAGGTGGACTGTGTTGTTTCTTCCACACAGACATGTTCACGTGGCTTTACGTGTTCATGGACAGTCACAACAAACACCTACACTTGCGCCTGTGCACACTGATTATACTTCTAGTGTTACATAGTGGTAGTGATTCAGTGGCATAAAAGGTGTCGTGCTTATAATTATAATCTTTAAATTTGATTCACAAAAAAGATTCATGTCAGCCTTTGGCAAGTGAAAATGTCACTGAGTTCAGATGGGTTGACCCTCCACTACATCCCTGTTAACACATACAGCCATGTAGCTCCTCTCCCATCCACTGCTCCACAGAAACCCTTCTCCTGCTCTTATGTTACACAAGTGAATGAATGAGAGGGGATTTAGAAAAAAAGAGGAGAGAAGAAGAATGAAGGAGTGCATTTGTGCCAGGTCCTAACGAGGCGAGTAATGCCATGAATAGGTGGTTCGGTCAGTTCACCTTGGATTCTTCTGATTTCAGAGTGGGCTAGTGATGTGTGATGTGCAGCACCTCTTGCTGGCAGGACAGTACTCAGTTCTGTCTCACAGGGCTCATGTCATCACCCCCCACTGAATCAGCATGCATTCATTAATCCAGCTTCTTGTTATTTTTCTAAGGTGCTCTCTCTTTTCTCATTTGTAATGTCCAGGCCAACACACTCTCATCAGTTTTTCTTTTTTCTTGCAGGAGCACATATTCCAGCTAATGAAAAGTGACAGCTATGCACGCTTTTTGCGATCCAACATCTACCAAGACCTCCTATTAGCCAGAAAGAAGGTGAGCTGCACTCACCGACCCCGATGTCAGGTCTTCTTTGTATAAAACCTTTATTGCATTTCTCATGTTGGTTGTATTCCTTTTAGTTTTAAAAGACATTCCAGGTTCACACTGTATGTATGCAGTCAGAAATTAGATCTAGTATCAGTATTACATGCTGCAACATAATTAGTGAGAGTGGTGGAAAGTACATTTACTCAACTACTAATAACAATTTTCAGGTACATTAATAGAGTATTTTGGCTTTGTCATTTTATATTTCTATGACATTTTGGAGGTTTGGTCCCACTACATTTATTTGACAGCTTTAGTTACTTTACAGATTCACATTTTAATACAAAATATCAAACAAATAAATTACGATGTATTATAATAGACAAGTCCCCTGCCAATATACTGTAATTAGTCCCAACTTTACCACCTGCAGAATTAAAGTGATGTATACATTAATGCATCAATATAACCCTATTATGTAATCTAAATTATTATAAATCAGACATTATACATAGTGAGTACTTTTATCTTTGTATTTAGCTATATATTATGATGAAGAAAGCAAAGTGATTCAAACAAGTCAATGTTTAAGACTTGTAAATGTGAGTTAATTGGACACACTTGCATTGGGCCATGCCGATGTTTGCTAGCTCTTAATAAGGTCTGGCAATCAGCAGTTTCATACTTTATGCTGTTAGTACTGAGTTAGTACCATACTAACAGAGCCCCAGAAAGGCAAACCCACTGCGACCAGAATGCAGGTGCAAGGAAACTGCTAAATTATTTAAAATGTCAAGGGAACATTCTTGAAAAATATGACATCATATGCCACACGCAGACTGCGTGTGGCATATGATGTATAAACTGCTGTGAAAAACAGGAACAAGTCATTGTGTCAACAGAAACTAACCTACATACAGTGCAAAGATATGGCAGAGAAGTGAAGTACTGTGTATACAAGTAGTTGCAGCCTTTAACATGTATTTTTTATGTTATTTTGTCTATTGTCTGGAACTTATTTTTAAGATGTGCACACCTGAACAAATCATCATTTAGCTGTTACTGTGTAATATGGAGCTTTTCAGCAAATCACAGTTGCCTCTGTTCATGCTAGCCTTTCTGCCCTTCCCCGTTTGAACACTGCTACTTCCGTTGGCTTGTCACTGACTCCCACTCCATTTTGCAAAAATGCAACCCTCCCCTCCCCCCGCACTGTCCTTGGCCTTCATTTTTGAAATGCTTGGCCCCCCTTTTTTCCCTCACTAACATCACTTCCGACCCTCGTCAACACCCGTACCTGACCCAAACACTCACCCTGCTTCCCCCCTCCCAAAACAGCAGCCAGCAGACACTGAACAGGGCCGCCGCACCTCCTTGGAGAAGTTCACCCGCAGTGTGGTAAGTCATTTGGAGCTGGGGCTGTTCATATCACAAACCACACTGGCTGGCTCACTATCAGTGGCTTTTGAAATGATAACCATATTACACATTGTTGTGTCTTCTAAGATCTGTTGTTGGATGTGTTTATGTGAATAAGGTAACTTGCTAGTCATATGGATGGTTGCAGCTTAGTATTTTAGATAAAATGACTTTGTTGGTAGAGACTTTGTCTGTGTGGTTTAAAAAGTACTTCATCTCTCATTTCAACTCTTCTTTTCATTGTAATTGAACTTTTAGGGCAAGTCATTGACGGGAAAGCGCCTGACAGGCTTGATGCAGTCATCCTGACACAGCCTGTGCTGGAGGGGCATAGCCAGACCCTGTTGGAGGGGTGACAGCCACCCAGGGGCACAGACAGTGGAGCTGAGATGGACAGTGCTGCTGTGGAGGCTCTCAAACACTGCTCTGAGGACTGCTGACATACTGGGCCTGCTGGGGGTGAACACCCCAAACAGAACCACTGAGGAAAAGAAAATTCTGACAAGGGGAACCTCAGCCAACACACCACATGGCATGCAGCATACAGTACTGTATAAGCACATTCAGACCAGGGCTGCTCTCTGTTCATCACTTAGTTGGCAAACTGTTTGTTAACCTAATCAGATTATATTGTTCTCATTTTGTTTTCTACACATGTTTACTGGATATTAAATGCAACAATCTTCTCTGATAAAAACTACATCTAAATGTTATTTGACACAATTGCAATGAATTGACTATTGGTTTAGTTGTCCTAAAACAGCTGGGGACAATCTTAACTCATACATATGTCTGTGCAGATTCTCAGTCATCCAGGTCATAGTAAGCTGAAAAAACGTATAAAAAATCAACTGGACTAGATTTCCAGATCGAAGACGTTTCACTTCTCATCCAAGAGGCTTCATCAGTTCTAACTGACTGGTGTTGAGCCGGAGATATTTCTTCCCCTTAGTGGTGTTTCAGTCCTTTGAAGGTCAACAACGTCCCTTAACGACTGAGTCGTTATGTTGGCCTTCAAAGGACTGAAACACCACCAAGGGGGATAAATATCTCTGGCTTAGTTTTTTTTCAACTAACTCATACATACAAACAAAAATACCTGCTTAAATTTAAAAGGCCACACCAACACAGACATAAATCTATTTTACATATGGCTCTGTACTCACAAGGCAGCCAGCAATAAATAAAGCTTAAGATTGCTTTTTTCTTTTTTTTAGAAGTATATCCAACCTCTTTTTATATTCTTGGAATTTATATTATATCTCTTATAATGCAACATGAAACAGTTAAATAGTGAGCATGGTTTTGACATTAATCAAGTTGGTTTTTGCTGTAAATAATTTGATAGTGTCTACAAATTGGATTTCTTAAGTTATGTTTCATGCTTCATTACATTCCCAAATCTGACATAAGGGCTTAATATAGCATCCACACTGCACCTTTGCATGTTTCAACCACGTCTATGCTGAGAATTGTCTTATTTCTGCAACAATGCTTTGCATTGAGACTTGCTGCAAAGATGAATTTATTCCAGTTGACAAATTGGTACACTCCTCTCACAGCTTCTAGGCTTCAGGTTACAACATTTTGAGCTGAAGTCAAATAAATCCTTTCCAAAACTTTGAGTTTAAAAACACAGTGCACATGGTTGTGTGAATCACAGTGATTTGAGGTTTACTTTAGTTCTAGTGGGCACAGGCACATGTGAAATAGCATCCACATGCTTTCTGGGCTCCGGCTGTAGTGTAGTTTCTAAAGTTTCCAGTGCCCTGGGTCTATCTAGTAGTGGGTAAACCACAGGACCAGAGGGTTACCAGACCAGAATTCTGCTGTGTTCACATCATATTGAAAGACATCATGATGTCAAGACTAGTATTACAAGGCATTCTGCCCAATGCGGGGCTATTTGTTTTTCTTTTTGTTTGTTTTACCATGTAAATATCTTATTGTTTATTTTTTCAAAACAGTGAAACCTGCCATTTCTGTTTGGCAAAATGTATTCCATGACTCTCCATCTAATAATCATCATGTGTTTTAGTGACTGTTGGGAAAAAATGTGCATGTTATCAGACCATAATGGAGTGGTAACTTAGGGGAAGACAGTTTGACAGGGCACAGACAAGATAAAGCCCTAAACTGGAGCAACACTCACACGTGAATGGACATCAGCGCCCTGGGAGCAATATGTGACCCACACTGGGCACTGCACACACCAAACATTAAGTCCTCTCTGTGCTCGGACTGAGGGGATTTTAATCTTACAGCTCCCCCGTGAGGTCAGTGACTGCTGCAATGACAAACTCCTCCGCTGAATGAGTGAATCATCTGTTATTTTCTATCAGTGTTGCTGCACTGCACTGTAGAGGTCATATTAATAACTATCATCATACACCAGTAACCTCCTGATTTTAAGGTAGAGAGAGATGCTTAACTTGAGTCAGTGTACCAAATGCTATTCTCAGCACAAACACAATGACACTATGTACAGAGTGCATTGTAGATATAAATTGGCTACATTTCATTACACAAAAAAGGCACACCTTATGATATGAGCAAATTACTATGCATGTAAAATATTCAGGGCATTTTGTGCTTTTAGTTTCTCAATCAGCAAGATAACTAAATAATCAAGCACCTGCTGTCTATAGGCCTAGATGGGTACCAAATAAAAACTCTGGACCTGTCTGTTCTGTGCCATTGTCTTGTATTTGCTGCTGTGCATCATGACACAGTGGAACACAGTGGTGTCTCCTGCCCATAACAAAACAGAGCAGTGGGTTGTATTCCAGAAAGCATAAGCCAATGCTCTTTGCCCTGTTTAATCAAAGGTTGCTCTCTCAAAATTAACTAGAAAAATGCATTTCCTGTTAAAAATGCATGTGGATGCTATAAGCTCTGTTTCATTTACAAAGCTTCTTCCGGCTCTTTCAAACCAGGAACTCACAAAGACGAAGTAGACCACCTTAGATTTTATAAAAAAATAACCGTACTGGTTTATTCAGAGGATCACAGGTAAAATTAACATTACACGTCCAGATCTCTCCCACCACCAACCTGCGTGCAGGCAGCTTGGAAGATGAAAGACCCTGAACCAAAAAACCTATACAATATTAATCACTTCGTTGGGATAGCCCATTCTACCCAGGCACGTCAAACCGTGACGTCACCTGATATGCCAGCTTGCAGCTGACCATAACAATAGTCAAAACATGAGGAAAAGTCAAGGTGTGTGGCTGTTGATTAGTGGTGTGTATCTAAGAACAATTTGACATGACATTTCACATTAAGACAAATATTAAGATTAACATTACAGATAATAATAACAACCATCCTTGCCTGCAGCCTTTGTCTGATTTAATTA